GCGAGCAGTAGCCACTTAACCCTATGACAATGGTTGTTTTACCCCCAAAACGCACTCACATATGTATCACAGCATAACCTGTACTAAAAAGCTGTTAAGCATGCGCAAGCACAGGTCTCCTGGAATTGATAATATACACACGAAACCGTTAGCCGCGATGGGAGAAAGTTGAGCTGAGCCTTTGGCTTGATACTTCCAACACTGTTTTGACGATGTACGTGCCCGACATGTGGAAACATGGGATGACTACCACTATTCACAAGGGAGATAGTCGTTCCAATCCAGCCCCATAATTTTACTACCGGTTCTTTCAAAAGTCACGGAAGCTATTATTTCATGTGCTAACCGCCTACTCGGAAGAATTTAACTACCTCGCACCGGAACAGCATGGCTTCCGAGGAAATCGATCGTGCCCTACCAATCTATTACTAAAACGATCCATCCGGACTGAAGCAGTAGACTCCGGCACAAGAGTTGATGTGGTCTTTCTCGACTTATTAAAGGCGTTCGACCGGTTAGACCATAACATTCTGCTCTTCAAACTCCAGACCTTGGATATTGGTGATCCTCTCCTAGGATGGATAAGCTTTCTACTACACCGGCGCCTAGAAATACGTGTGCGTGAATCGCTGTCAGATCCCACCCGAGTGGAATGCGGAGTACCACATGGATCGGTGCTAGGACCGCGATAATTCTTGACGTATATTAACGAGACCACACACCTCATAAGCTCGAAGTTCCTTCTGTATGCCGATGATATCAAGGTGTGGAGGGCGATCAGTACACCAGATGATATTACAGTACTTCAAGCTGATCCGGATAGGGTATACGCGTGCTCAATCCAGAATCAACTTCGATTCAATGTGGAGTGCTGCACCTACGGCACAAGTTGGTGTACTGCTACAAACGCGGCAACCAAGAGCTTCAAACATCTTCCCGCGAGAAGGATCTGTGAGTTTTGGTCCAGGTTGACCTTGGATGTTCGAATCAGGCTGAAACGGCTTCTATGAGGGACATACAACATGTGGGCCTCCCGAAGCGTGCATTCGGACGATACAACTCTTCAATTTTTCCACAACGGCTTATACATACGGCCACATTTGGAATACGCAATACAAGTCTGGCAGCCATGGCTGAGGAGAGATTTCACCGCCCTGGATACCCCAAAGCCGGGTAGCCAAAAATGTCAAGGGTCTGTATACTTTGCCGTATGAACGAAGGCTTCAAGTGCTCGGGGTCTTCAGCGGACAGTATCGGCGATTGCGCGGGGAACTCATTTTGACTTACCAAATTTTGAGAGATCACAACCACATGTGCCGCCATTTGTTAGAGCTAAGTCACAACAACAATTTGAGAGGTCACCATCTCAAGCTCGCACAGCAGCAGAATGCCGCCAGAATTCCTTTTCCGTACGCGTTTGCAGAACGTGGAATGCTCCGCCTGAATCTGTCGTATGTGCTCCCACGCTTGCATACTTCAAAGTCCGAATTCACCGTGCACTTATTTCGCTGCACCATCTTACATGACCCATTACCCATGGAGAAACACAAGTGTCTTTAAGAGTTTACTGGCGGCCAAAGCCCAGATTTCGTTCCACTTTTTTCGCCTCCAGTATGTGTGCACCAGGAGACACGGTTTTTACCAACATCCCATTTGACATCATTTTTATGGATTTACAATCTATACTACGTATACTTCAGTTTATTGGTGTAAACCCTATTTTGCTAACAATTCTTTATACTTTGAATTTTCACCATAACCATGCTAGGGGACCTGTTAAGCATTAGCTTTTTGCCCGTATAAAACCACTGTTCCAAATCCCACTCCTAGTATGAAGCTAGTGAGATAAAAAGTCCCTCCATATAACGCTACAGCATGACGTCCGTAAAGTGAAACACCCCGCTAAAGTGTAACTGGTTGCTTCTCGTACACATCAGTAGCAAATGTCTCAAACGGCCTGGTGGGATAAGAACGTCGAGACTGAGTAACTGGATGAACTCGTGCAGATAGGCTATGGTCTCCTCCAATGGGACTTTGGTTAAAAGAGACACCACATCTGCCGTTCGGCTAGCTCAAGTTGCCTCATTACTCTAGCGGCCATTGGTGACAGTTAGGAGCGTTGTTCGCAGACCTCTTCATGAGCGAAATGGATGGCAACCAGCTGAACGAATCCATTAATCGCCTGGTTTACTACGGTCGATGTGCAGACGATATATTTTGTAGTGCGGATAACAGAATGTGTGTCGACGATCTATTGGCCCAACAACTTTCACTATCGAGCTAGAATGTAAGGACTTGTTGGCATTTTTAGATGTTCAAATCAATAGGGCATCAGACGGGTCAATGAGGAAAGTTGGAATGGACAATGTATCCACTTCCCTAATATTGTCAGAAAGGAAACCTCGTCCGTTGCCTAACGGAGAGAGCGAGGGGGATGTGTACAGAAGATACACTTTCAGATGAGCTGAGCTCTATCCGAAGCGTGTTCGAGCATAATGGATACCGTGCAAAACTCATCCGGAGGCACAGGGAACCGCGATTACCAAAGTTAAAACCCGATTCCGCGGAGAAGCGGATGATACACTTATCGGTGCCGTATAGTGGTGATGCTACAGCGGAACGGAACATAGCAACAGCGAGAACGTAGTTTGCTGCCGATCTGCGCGTAAGCCTCACCACAACACCGATTGTGCGCCAGCAACTCAACGAACGGGGAAACCTCAGTCTCAGATTTCCTTTTGTGTGTACAACTTCTCTTGCTCGTGTTGAGTAAGGTATTTTAAGAAAATGACCAGCCGACTGTCCGTCAGAACTATGGAGTACTGCCCTGCGGTACTGCCCATGGCGGTATGAATAAGACCGCAACGAGTGCAGTGTTGTCGCACTTAGTAGACTCTGATCACCAGATCAATTCGCATGACGCAGTGATATCAATCTGGACGTTACACACGAGCAGTCAGATATCGCCTACTGTCGACAGCAGAGGCGATCGTAATTCGGCCCCATAACCCGGACCTATGTGCACATAAAAAACTCGTACAAACTCTCATAGTACTCAGGCCACAAGCAAAAACGACAGACAATGGCGGTAACGCCACTTCACAGCAACCAGAACAACCACGCAGTCTTATTGATCAGATACTTTACTTCAATGACTCACCGAAGTTAAACTTCTTGCATCCATCCTAGCTTGCTTTGTCGTGATTGTATTAGTCTGATGATGAAACCCTAAAAACAAACTTGTTCGCAACTTTCTGTTTCTGATGTCATCTCCGCGAAGTACCTCTCAATTGAAACAGGCAGACGGACAACGAGACAACAGCAGACGCGCTACTGGTGCCGACTGAGAGTCATGTCCTGTAAAACCTGATAATCACACTAACTAATTCCTCGGGAAGCGATGGGCGAGTGTACGTAGCAGATACCCGAACCGTGATCTGTCTAGCTTGTTGATCCAACAAACGGAACTGCCTGCCTTCGCTTTGCATGCGTCTACGCATTTCGTGTAGCGAACCCGTACGTATAAACGGACATCATAGGCAACGGAGATCAAAGACTTGAAGAAGTGTCTATGCCGCAGACTGAAGACACAAAATTTCACTTCCGTATTAGAGAACGATTTTCACTATGGGCGTGCAAATTAGCCTATAAAAGTTACAGAACACTCATCTGGTGCCACAGCTGCCGCAGACACACCATAGCAGTTCCATACGTTAGCATACGTGAACCGACTTGAGGGTCACGTATTTGTTGCTGTAAATGTGTTCGGCAAGAAGAAGAATTGGTCAACTATCTCCAGATTTTCGTCAGAGAGAATAAAAAAACAGAAGGTGGCTGATGCATTCGCAGCGGCAAGATGCAAGCTGAATGCGCGGGGTGCATCTTAACGATGGAATCGATTAATGACGGCACCATATACTGATCACCAAATGCTAAGACGTAGGCCGTGTAATGTAGGTCAATCAGTTTACCCCGGCAAGAACATCAACACGTGTTGATAGACTGCATGAGAACATACCATGGTGGAGTCCACGATGAAAGTGAATAAATGAAACAAGCCTAGCAAATCTTCGTTGTTGTCTGAAAGACATCCGACAATTGGCCCCAGATCCTTAAACGATCTACATATTTCACACCTTTTATGGGGATAGTCTTGGAAAAGATGAAAGCGGAGGAAGTCGCGCAAATCGTTAAGTGCTAAAAACATAGTCAGTGACAATTTGTCTCACTGCTGCGGAGTAAAAATATGATCAAAGCAGTCACAGACCTACATGTTCACCTCAGACGGGATTCCCGTTCTGCAAAAAGAAAGTAGGAGTGAACAGAGGCATCATAAACCAGAAAAGGAAGGCTTCTGGTTGCAAACATCATCGCAAGGGCTACAGTGGGGGAAGTAACCACTCGGTTATCCGCCGGCGAGAGAGCACGCATGACGACGGAGACAGCACAAGATAATCTAAGAAAGAGTGCGCCAAATTATGCGTATAAGTAAAGGTTCATGTACTAAAAAGATTGTACAAAATCAGATGTATGCGAATGATAGTTAAGTAGCAAATGCAAAAATCATAATGCATCGGGCTGCTTGGTCCAATGATGAAAACATACTGGATTGGATAGTTGAGCGATAAAAGCAACAAAAAATGCAATGAAATATAAATGCGAGAAGAAAGTGCTGGTGCTCGCGAGCATGTGAAAGCCGAGGGAGACCGGGCATCGACGGGTGCCCGAAAGAAAAATACTTAAATAAGGAAATGAAGCAACATGATTCAAACCAAGCGTGGTAACAAAAGTCAGTACAGCGGAGAGGAGCCAGCTTGAATGCTATCCAACGAGCCGAAGTGAAAGTGGTAGGAAGATGATTTTCTTGATTCCATGTCGATAGGTGTGACTGAACGTTGCAAGCAAGTTATGAGATCCAGGAGAGCCTGTGAAGATTCTAATTAAGGTAACCAGGTAAAGACATTCTGTCTGAAAAAAGCAGACGAGCAGAGGTGGTGCTTTCATGTGGCTATCGCATAGTCGACTCCGTAGTAGTCAGAGTGGTACTGTCGGATGGCACAACACATTACCATGGAGAACAGAAGACAGAAGATCTAAAAGACAAGATGCAGGACGTTAAAATTAAAAGTTTTTGAGTGAAAACTAGGTAATTCATTCATCACAGAGGAACAAGTGCAAACTTATTGACTTCAGCAACACACACTTCATTTTATTGACACTGAGCTCTCATATTGTAATTTTCACCTCATACCTATCTTACGGGAACTGTCAAGCACTTACCTTTTTATCCGTTGTAAACCATTTTTCATTGGAACCTACCACAAGTGGGGAATTAGTGTAAAGGGTTAAACGAGTAGGGCAGTAGAGGACGAAAAGATGCTCTTAGCGCGTGCGTAATGGGGACTGGTTCTGAATCGTATCCCAAGCCGTAACGGGCAATACACAGGACGTTACGCGAGAAGCAGTCTGAAAACGGAACGACCCAACTTAATGGAAACGAACGGTGCACGCTCCCATCAGTCTAGAGAAAACTGACACAAATCAGCCAATTCAGCTTTGCTGTGAAACGCGTGTTCATTCGCGCAAACGGTGCGCAAGCACGCATGGTAGGTGTGGTGAAGACCAGGATTTAGTGTGAAGCGTCTCTCGTGTGAAACATCTCGACAATCAACGTTGCACATCTTTTGAATATACAAGTGTGTTGGTAAAACAGACGAGCGTCTGATGCAGGCTGTCTGTAACAGACAATGGACGGGTTAGAAGTATAAAGGTAGTTGGCTTCTGATTGGTCAGTGGAGCAAAGGAAAGAAATTATGACCGCGAAAGAAACCGAACGATCTGCAGACACTAGGTTTCCGGCTAAGACCATGTTGGTAACATAAATGTTAACTTCGCTCAGTCTGCGGCAGTGTCCTCAAAACCGTCGAAACGAACACAAGCTAGGAGGATGAACATCTCAATGGGATTCAACTAAGAGTCGATGCGAGTGGTACACACAGCTTAGCTAGACAGAAAATGTTTAAATCGCGATGCATATATAATCGACACTCCCTGGAGCAGTTTCAAAATGAAGCGATGCCATCAGAGTAGAGTAGGGTGCATCATCAAGGAAGAAGCATACAACTAGTGTAATTCCCTGTGCGTGATAATTCCAGTATAACTGCGACCTAGAAGGTTAGCGGGGGTAACATTATCCGTCGCCATCGGACATGCGTGGGGAAAGCTCGCGACACTAACGCGACCATCTATTAGACTGCACCCAAGCAAGCAGACCGTGACATCGGTTCAATCAAAGAAACCTGGAAACGCATGCAACCGTTTGCATTATCAGCTCTCCATTATTATTACCAATTTGAGTTGAAGAGAGCACTGATCGCATTATTTTTGGCTTTATAGCCATAGCCTAATTACACCAATACAATCCTCACCCCAAAAGATGCATTACATTGAGAAATACACGTTTCTTATGTTCGATTAATTCCATCGGAGGTTCCCAGTATGCACGACCTGTCCGCCTCCACATGAGACGTACACACCTTATCTGTGACGTTGACAGCATTTGCCATGTTCGCACGCGCCAACTCTACCGCTCACTGACTGCTCAGAGGTACTCGTCGTAAATTAACTCGCAGACTAACTCTCTCAAGTGGTACTATTGTGTCCGATAAAAGCACCATTGGAGATGCGTTTAAGGCAAGGCCACGAACAAGTACGGCCATCATGTGCTTGCTTAACGCAGTTGTGGTACTTACTCCCTACCGAAAATCGGTGATTTAAAGAGACAATGGGGAAAAAGAGGGGTAAGGAGCTCACATGAGGTGTCTCAGGAGCGATGAGCTGGTTGCCTTCAGTGTTAAAAGAAAAACGGATGACTACCAGAAAGGCTATTATTTTGTAAAGGATTTACGAAAATGCCATCGATTGTTGGCGTCCACATGTAAACGTAAGATACCATGAACCCAACCACACATCACAGTCGCTATTAATGGAGTGAAATCAATCATCGATAATTGCAATAAACTGACCGAATGCTGTTGAGATAAATGTACCGTTAAATTCCACTATTATCCGCCGTTTTGCTGATAACGCCTAGTACAGCTGTCTACATGTTGAAAAGGACAAGTTGCCGTAACTAACGACTAGCTCAGCAACCCGATAATATGGTCTATATTTAACGTGCGACAAGAAAAAGGATAGATGCAGCGGATAGGCGCAACACTAGGCATTTACAAACAAGTTACTATGCGAGAAGCACTTAGATGTACGTGCAACTTACTTCGAATGCCGCCACTGAAACGGCGATGAGAAACAGGACAACCAACTTGTCCTTGAAAAGTCGTTTATATTTGTCTTTACAACCCTGTGGAAAAAGGCGAAAGATAGGATGATCAAGTGGGACGAAGAAAAAGTAGTAAGGGTTGCGGACAAGGTTTTCAAGCCAAATGAATGACTGGCGTTAGAGAGGCAAGACCGCGTGTCTGGCGGGTCTCGGTGGGAAGGTAAACGAGACCTGGGATAGGAAATGTGGTCGATTGGACGAAGTCAGTCTACTTGGTCAAGTGTGTCAGTACACCAAACGATACATTCATAAGACAGAGAGTATCCAAAAGAATCCGACATAAACAACCCAAAGAAGCAACCATTGATCTAAAAAGCAGGTTAGATCATAAAGCGGGTTATCACAACGTGGCGAGCTGAAGAGGACAATTTGGCGCGAACAGGTCTAACCCCTGGGTGCGACGAAGAAAAATAATAACATAGTAGGAACTATACTGTAAGAGAATAGAAGCAAATCCTAAGTTGCTTAGAAAGGCAGATCGAGTGAGTGGAAAATGAAAGGTTTCGAGATGTTGGAAACAGGGAGGATGAATGAGGCGGACCGAAGCAGGTCAAACAGTGAAGTCCCGTGGGAATCGATCTGTGTCATCTGGGACATCGTTATGGAAGAACGAACGAATGAAGGAAAACAGCGACACAGGTGCCACCAAGGTTGATCAGCAGATTCGCCATCGAGCACTACTATCAGCATGCAGCTTTTAACCACAGAAGCAACGTTCCGTCTGTTAACCCCACAGGCAACACAATATAATGACAGATGACTGACACCGAGGCTGTCTGCCTAGGGGAAAGTAAGGAAAAACAAAGAATAACCGGATATGAGTATTACATATGTTAACAATCACCCACATCCAAAGCGAAACCGACGCGATCTCAGGGGTACTGAGTCCATGTGTTCCGTTCCCATTGAAGGTTGGAGATGACAGTATGGTAATAAAGTTGCTACTTCATCCATTTATGGCAAGTGACCATTTGTCGCAATTCAACGAAGTAAAATCCATGATGCCCCGTAATATCGGGGTTGCACTCCGGTTAATCAGAATGGATCCCGGTGAACAAAAGCAAGGGCACAGTTGCAATGCAAAATCCAAACATGAGAACTAAGCGCAAGCCGCAGTATTTCATTCTTTTGGTACGCGCCCCGACGGATGCTGGTACGAAATTGTACCATAGGGGAATTGCATCAACAGCAAAACCTCCTGAGTTAACCCTAAGTTCGCTATTTCCTTCATTGCTTGAACGATCACCATGTAAACCTTAGGGATCCAGACCTCCGTAGGTTGACCACTTAGGTCCAGTCCGTTGAACAGTTAACTAGCGGAGATTTTACTAAAGTCGGAAACAGCCCAGATGTTGTTTGTCAGGTCCATGTGAATATGTTAACTTAGGAACGCAGGTGCACCTTCATCCGTCAAAATAAGGGAAGTGAATGGTTATAACAGAGAGTAAGACGTAAACGGAGAGGAATATCTGCAGGGAAGAATGGGGTTGAATTGATCGAATCAATGCATGTAGGGTCGGTAGTGCGGGGAAACCAAACAAAGGAACTTATGAGGCGGAAAGTGGTCGATTGTCCAGTAACATGGTCTATTAACAGAAAATAACTTAAAAGAAATCGCGTAAACATAACTCAGCAAAGCCAAGGAAATGAGTGAGAAGCTAAAGGAGATTACGGCAGGAAGACCTTCAATAAGAGCACACTTTAGGAAAGTAGTACCTTTATAGGGCTTGGGGCTACAAATGGGAAACAGCCATCCGAGGAGCCTGGGAGAGGAAAATATACTTCTCGTAAGAAAAGTAAGGAAACAGAGCGCCTCGCAATACCTGAAACAAGCTCGTCCTGTGTAGTCAGCAGACAGCTGTTCGAGGCGTGTTAGTAAACCTTTCGTAATGTGGAGAGCGAAATGGCCAACACGGTCAACAGATGGTTAAGAAAGTAAGGTCGTAAAGTGACGTAAGGGGACACGAAAATGACAAGTGGCGGGAAAACAGCTCGTATAGAAGAACGGAATTAGGTCGTGTGATGATTGGTTCACCGAGATAAACAATCTGATTACAGTCAGAGTGCTCACAGCTAGGAGACGAAAGCAGCACCTCAACTGCTAACCCGAGATACAGGTAATCCGATGTAGTGGAGTGGCACAAATTGTGGGAACTCGGAGTTAGGGAAAAGGACGAATAACGCTACAACAATACGAGTGTCACTCACATCGGCGTACACGTCAGCTGGGGTAAGTTGCAATTCATCACAATTGCTCCGGCGACGATCGCAACAGGCAATAGGAATACTTTCTCGATAGTCAGTATAGCCGTTGACGCCGCAACATTCAAGCTGAAAATAATTAGAAGTGACATAATTGTAAGCTATTCGACAAAAAAAACGGGTCTGTACTGAACCGAATGAAAAGGGACGAATTAGAAACATTAAGTAAATAACAGAGGCATCACCCTGAGACGGCGTGGAAGCCTAAAAAAGCCTAAAATCTATCAACCGCTGAGTGAGTCGGATCAACTATTTCTTCTAGCCAAGAACTAAGAGAAAATGTGATGTTCGATTAAAACATAAAGTTTTGCCAGCCTCCTTTAGGGAGCATACATAAAATAACGAATACCTTGGCTGGTAACCAGTCGCTCACCGCTTGTCCAAATGCGGGAACCGTCGTAATTTAATAGTCCATAAACCATGCGGGAACCACATACCTAGCGCTTATCCCATTCTCTGAAGACGCGAGCGTGCAGTTGGCGAAAAATCATCTAATTAGCTGGAGTGTACCAAAGAAAATATGTCACTACCTGTGCCTGCGGCCTATCGCTCCCTCATTAACTTCAAAGTTGCCACGTTTCAATCCACTCGGCTGAAATCCCGAAGACGACCAATAATCGCAGTCCATTAATACTACAGCGCAATCGTACTTCTTAATTTAATCCACTCGGCTGAAATCTCGAAGACGACCAATAATCGCAGTCCATTAATAATACAGCGCAATCGCACTGCTTAATAGCTGCATAGAACATGCGCACACTGCGATGGCGCAAGTCTGGTGCACAGCAAGCGTCAAAGGCATTCTTCGTGGCAAATTTGAGCCGATCCCAGTCAGCTTTCGGCTCACAAACCTTATTCATCACTGACAATTGGTGGATCACTTCGTCATGATATTGCTGAACGGCAGATCACGAGTTCAAATTATAGTAAGGTTAGAAGAAAGGCGCCTCTCCGAAGTGGGTAGAGTGAGCGCCAAGCGTGCGCGCACTAGAGCGTGGTCAAAATCTAGGCACGTGCTCCAAATTGACCGACAGTCTTGGACTGATGTGCGTCATCTGTAGCTGATGGCAATATGGTCAATTTGGGTCCAGATCATTGAGGAATTCGGTGGGCGTCAGGTGACGCGGTGTGAATGTATACATTGGAAAGCAGTGTTGCTAATACAATGATTGTGGTCGGCGCATAGTTGCAGGAATCGAGCAGCATTGTATGTTTCGCGTTCATCGACTGCGAAGCGGCCGCCCAGGTGTTGTTCATAGTCTGAAAGACGACCCCCTTGCGCATTCATGTCACTAGCAACAATCAAGATGTCAGTGTTCTTCGCCATCCGAAGAGGGGATGAGAGCTATCGATAGAAATAGTCTTTGGTACCGTCTAAACTGCATAAATTGAGGCAATGAAAAGGCATCTTGTTTTCAGGCGCTGCTCAATAGAGGCTTGAAGTCGAACCCCACACATGCGGCTGTTCACCGGAATTCAGTCGAGCCGATTGCCTAGAACATGTTTTCTGAGGGCAATACCAACATACAGTATCGTCAGAGACGTGAAAAGTGTAGCCATGGTCCCCAGCTACAGAAAATTTTGCACGACGCCGTTATCTTGTATGCGTGTTTCGGAGATACAGCACACACCAATACGAAGAGAGTGAAGACTGAGAGTCAGTGCTGTTTGCTAGCCGATCTGACCTAGAGTGTGGACGTTAAAATAACCAATGTCAAATGTGATGGAAGAGCTACATGTATCGATGGCAGCAGCTGTGAAGTCAGTGATAGTCCCTTGCTGAACAGATAGCGAAGAAGAGAAAGAAAAGGATAAAAACAAGAAAAAGAAGGTGGGAGTATTGTCGACGTGGTCAAGAGGGCAGATGATAATCGCCGGCTGCCCATTCCAAGAGGGGAATTGTTCTAGGTACCCTGTCTCTAGCCATTGACAAAAAAGTTTGACACATAAAGCAGTGGGTTACATGGAGGTTCACTCTACCCGGATCGTTTGGCGCAATAGCCTGACCCACAAGGCAGTGGGGAGCAAGTCCGGCTCGGGAGTGTGATTTCAGGTACCCATTTAGATCTACTTGAGGACTGTCACACACAGTGCACGTGTTACGCGTCTACGACCACGGCCAGCCGCAGGTTGGAGTTGTCGGGTTTGCACCAATTTGACCAGGGGCTGTCTGGTTTGAGGCGGGTGGTAGCAAACCATTGAGCAACCGGAGGTGCCCTCGCCCCGTAAGAGGCGAGTTGTGGCGCTCTTGCTCTAAGCCAATCGAGCTGTGAGTTTATGACCCGTAGACCTGTTGTCTTCCATTGCTAGGCCATCGATATTTTCCTAACGCCGAAAGGAATCGGATTATGAGACTGAGTTAGTTTGACCCTTTACCATTGACCTGCTGGTATGAGTGGTTTTGAATGCATTTAGAAAGTGGCCTCGGGTGGTGAACAAGAGACAGTTAGTGCAACTAGTTCGGATCGGCGGGGTACGTCAGAAGACTTTGAGGATAATCCCCGCGGACGAGCCGACCAAGTGGCCTATCAGTAGGATTGTTACTTTTCTTTTGGTGACGATGTGCCGCGTAGCTGCCATCTTGCAGAAGAGTTTGAAGCCACGCTTTCCATCTAATGCTGGCCGCCTTGCACCTGTTAAACCTGTATGGTAGACCAATTTGTCTTCAACGAATCCACGGCGTTTAAGAGAGATCACCAAGTCTTCACCTGCCTCCATAGTGCCACCTGCCTCGGTAGCTTCGGGTGCTATATTGGTATACTTGTAGCACAATTAAAGATTTACGGGTATTTGGTCACTTTGGTACGGGACAAAACCGAAGGCTATCCAATCCGATAGTGATCCACTAGGTCAGAACGAGTCATAGTTTGCTTCCTCAAATGAGCCCCTTCCCACCCTCCGAAACACCGTCTTCGAACTATGGGATGAGAAGACGGCCATGCCAAACAAATGGGATTCTGGTGGTATCCCGGAGTTGGACAATCCTTCAGGTGTGGAGACTGATGTAGTATTTTCAAGGCGGTTGTCAAAACCAATGATGGGTTATTCGAAATAGAGGTACGGAAGCTCTGTTTGTCAGAAGGTGACACGGGCGGAATTGTAGCTCTTACTGTTGGCTCTCTGCAGGTGGGAGGCGGATCTTCGAATCTGCTGCTCTAGGGAGGACCACTGTGAGTCCAAAAGCTGACGTGTAAGGGATCGGGCGTAACGATGTAAGTCGTGTGACCTTCATAGTGAACGAAGCAGGCGTACAGCGATCTAGAGCAAAAACATGCAGCTATCTAATGGAGAATCCGAGTTGGAGATGGTGTGCGCTCAAGTCTGTCCGCAATATCAACCACCTGTCTGGTCTTATCATGTAGCGTCCCCTGTGCTTCTACTTACCAATCACGTTCCACGTCCAATGATCTCGTCCCCGCACATCCACCCGTAAGACCCCGTTCCTGCGTTGTGCCTCGGCTACCTGACAGTCGAAGTGATTCTGCAGTAATAAAACTTGAGTGGCTCATTGTGCGAGCAATGGATTGAAATCATAATGTGGCTACAAGCCTAACAATACAGACCTCATAGATTGGCGCCTAAGTGTTAGTGGTCAATCATTTCACTACACTTTGATACACGCTTTGCTCTTGGGAGTTGATCCAAAAATTGATTTTATAATGAAAAATCAATTATTGTAGGACTCTTCGTAGTCATGTTGCCTAAACAGCGGAACACTTGGAGACCGCGGGATATCAGTCTGTCAGTGAAAAATAGGGAGTATAACGCTGTGATAAAGCCGGTTTGTGTGTACGCATCAGAGATGGCGAGTTCGCAGTGAAGACAGTAAATGCTTGACCGTGTTTGAGCACCGGTGCTTGAGGAGTATTACGTTTGGTGGGAACACCAAGTGAGCAATGCTGAAGTCCGCCAGTTAATTTTACAAAGAAGCCGCCTGGTGCATCACTCGAGTGCTTACTGAATCTTGATCGCTCACGTTAGCTAGACCGTTTCCTCTGTATGCCTGTTGATTGGCTTCCTCGGCGTGCATTATACGCCGTAGCTGCACCAAGTTAAGCGAAACAACGATGTGGTCAGTCCATGGTGTGGCATAGAGGCATGAATAAAATCAGTGAGAGACTTGGTCAGACTGGTGCGCATCATCTTCGTGGATGGGGGCCTTGGAGTTGTCTGCACCAATGGTTGCAGACCCTATCAGACATGGCGCAATCACGCAGTCAGAGGAGTTCCTTCATTCGGTTTCTTGCATCTAGTTTCCAATTTTCATTCCATTGTGAGTAGTTTTACGCACTTCCTTCTTGCTTCCATTCTGTGTACATACAATTCAAGTTTAACTCCACTAGCTCGTCGCTTTTATTTATTGTTACTCTCACAAGGGAACCGGATCGACTGCACCTTAGTGCTCTGATCATAGTTCATCAACTAAACTGAAATGAAGTGTTGCCGTATCGTACTGTCAGACTAATAATACTTTCATATTATCATCGCTTAACCTCAAAATTCGTAGGCATTTGCATTCAAAGAGAGAACAATTTGCCCAGGGGACCAATAAAGGGCAAAATCTAGAGAACCCATAAATAGCCTTGATAGTGATGAGCTTCTTGGTTTGAGTGGAACAATTTCCTATTCAGGACACTAGATGCCGATCTCTATCCCTGCGTATATGCCACACAAGCACAATAAAAAGTCGCCATTTCGGTCAATGTATATCAATCCAACAAGAATCAGCATCTGCTTCTACGAGCAAACAATCGGGACAACCATCAGTTTAAAAGTTGAGGCAAGCGAACACAAACAAACAAAATGTTGGACACAACGTAAGGGTTGGTGAGATACATTTGGTTCACAGTTGCTGATCAAACACACACACACACACACACATATATATATATATATATATATGGTAGTTGGAGGAATATAGGTTTTGTCTGGATTGTAGGGGTTACAGGAGCCTTCTTCATTTGCTCAATGTTCGCACGCAGGAAACTGTCCGGGTAACCATTTTCTCTTGGCGTTCAATGTATGCGCTTCAATTCATCGGCAAACGTGTCGTTCGAGCAAATTCTTTC